GTGCCCAAGATCCTGAGAGAAGAATGGAGGAGAAGGGATTGTGGCGTGGCCATTCCCCCAGGGGGTGATTTCTCACTTTCTCTCTGGTGAGCACACACACCCTATAGCAAAAATCTCTCTCTATTAAAAAAAAAAAATACAGAAAATCGAATTGAAAACATTATTTTTTAAGAATTATTTTATTTAACTTTATTTATTATTATTATCATTATTATTTTTCAGTTTGATCAGAGAGAGACAGAGAGAGAGAGAGGAAGTGAGAAAGCAAGCCACCAGGTCCGAGACTTGAACCGTGGTCGGCCATGTGGGAGTCCAGCACCTTTAACCACCATGCCACTTGCTGGCCCCAATTGAAAACATTATTGATATTCAGATGGAGAATAGTCTTTCTCAGAAAAAAACAGTTTTGGTCCTTGAACCCAGTTATTAATATACCATCACTGTAGCTTTTTCTGCTTTGAACAGTCTTTCCAGTTCTTTAATGTTAGCATCTGTTTTTGTTTCTATAGCTAACACACACACACACACAAACTACATTTTCGCCTCTTTGAACCGACATTTCTTATGAAGTCTGTCTTGACTGATTTAAACTCACTCAGCTGGTTCCCAGCCTTCTATATCAGAACTAGGGGGCTATTGAAAAATTCCTGTCCCTGGGCCCCATTTCCTTTTTTAAAATCATTTTTTTTTTTTTGAGTTCCTTTTTTAAAATCTTTTTTATTTATTTTTTTTTTGAGAGGTTTTTGCTATAGGGTGCGTCGTCTGCTCTCCAGAAAGACAGAGAGAGACAGAGAGACAGAAAGCGAGATATCACCCCTCCAGGGGGGATGGCCATGCTGCAATTCCTCCTCCTCCATTCTCCTCTTGGGATCTTGGGCACGCACACATGTGCACCCGGCAAGCGTTTAAGCCGCCAGGTGTGGGACTTGAACTGTGATCAACTACATGGGAGTCCAGCAACACAGTCATTACGCCAACTACTGGGCCCTCTTGGCCCCATTTCTGGAGACTGGGATTCAGATCAGAAGAGAAGCCCAAACATGGGCATTTTAAAATACTCTGCCAGTTCTGATAAACTGCCAGATGTAGGGATGTCTGGACATTTTTCTAATTTCTAGAATATATTTTCTGTTCACTTTAAAAGTCAAATGAAGGCAGTTACATTAAGAAAGGCTGCCAGTAAACCTAAGCAAAACAAATGGTTCTAACTGCTGCTGAAGCAAAGTAAATCATTTGGAGCATGCCAGGCGACGTCTGATACCCTCACATTCTTTCAACTTGGGTTTCAGTCCAGGGGAAGAAACGCTATTTCCCCCTCCCAAACAGGCCAACATAATGCCGGCCGTTTACACTATGAGCTTCCACTAGGTACGTCACATTCTGTTATTGTTCCCTATTTCAAGCCAACCGCCATTCTCTGATCAATAACACTCTGAGTGTCCGTAAATTGAAAAATCTGATCAATGTTTAGCCAAAATGAATTATTTTTAAATCTGAAAAAGATCACATTGACTGAGAATGTAGGTATCCTATTTCTGGACCTACTATTCTTATTTTTAAATACAAAAAAAGTTCCTTTTCATTATTACCCTTTTCTTGGGCCTCCAGCAGTGAGACGGAATATTTCATGTCTGATCCTAAACCGAAGAGTGAGGAGATGGGGATTGTCGTACTTCTGTGTCATAGTTCGAATAGGATGTGTTGTCTTTTCCCTCACTCTCTCTTTTGCTCTTTTAGCTTGCTATAAGGAATTCTAAATGGAGAATGTGAACTTAGGGAAAATACGTACTCGTGCCGATGCGTAGGAAGGCGAATTAGAATCTAATGCAGTTGGCCAGTGTTGATTATCCTTGTGACATGGGACCCCTCTTTCTCTGGAAAAGCTACCTTTAAAAATCTGAAATATAATTGGGTGATTTTTCTCAAGTCAAAAAAAATTAGCATTAAGAGAAAACACATCAAAAGAAAAAGAATGTATCCAACTACTAGTTTGCTAACAAGTCAGGATTTCTTTTCCCTTGTATTTTAGTTATAAACATGTTATAGACACATCGTCTTCTGCTCATATGACCACTTACCCTTAGCTATATTCTTTTTCTTTTTTTAATTTTTGCCAGAGAGCATGTACACTTAAGGAAGAGAGAGAAAGACAGAGACAGAGACAGAGAGAACCAGCACTCCCCATGGGGAGTTGTCAAGCTTCAGTCCCTTCTCCTCCTCCTCTCTCTCCTGTCAGGATTTTCGGTACACACTCACAGGCACCCAGGCGTGTCTCTTCAAGCCACTGGGTCCAGGACTTTCCACTCACTGTGGACCACCTTAGCCGCGGCCCCACAGGCTACCCCAGCTACTTTTTCTGTGTGTGGCTACAATGTTTTGTAGGAATGGTACTTTGGCTGCTCCTAGGTGTATCCTTGGACTTTGAATATGCTTGAGAGTTTACATTGTTCACAACCTATAAAGTACAGTGTCATTGTTTACAAAACCTACACCAGAGAGTGCATGGTTGACTCTGGACTAGTATATAGGTCATCTGAGTATTTTGATCATTTAAAAAGATCATTTCCGGGTCAGCAGGTAGTGTGGTATCTGGGGTGCTGGGCTCCCATGGAACTGACAACAGTTTGAACCCTGGACCTGGCAACTTGCTTTCTCATGTTCCCTCTTTCTCTGTCTCTCTCTGGTGAGCACACATGCCCTAGATCAAACTAAAAAATAGTAATAATAATTAATAAAATTAAATAAATAATTCAAAGATAATTTCTCCATGGAGCTGAATGCGCAAAACCTACTTGTGCCAAGTGTCCGATATATCTAAGCAGTGTGATGTCATCTCAGACTGGTTTTCTACTTGCCACTGTATTTTTTTTTTGGGGGGGGGAGGTTTTTGCTATAGGGCACGTGCACTCGCCAGAAACACAGAGAGATAGAAAGCGAGAAATCACTCCCTGGGGGGATGGTCACACCGCAATCCCTTCTCCTCCATTCTTCTCTTGGGATTTTGGCCATGCACACACACACGCACCCAGCATGAGTTTTAAGCCACTGGATCCAGGACACAAACCACGGACAGCTACGTGAGAGTTCAGTGACATAACCATTATGCCATCTGCTGGTCCCACCACTGTATCTTAAAAATTCCAGTTTGGTTTCCCAGTTCATGTGAATGAGAAGCCAGAGAGCTGAGCGTTGGGATGGTAAACAACTTCCATAGATGGATCCAGACCTTGAAAGGTCCTAACCCCAAAACGAAGGATGGTTCCCTCCTTCATCCGCATAATCTCCCTGTCTAAATGTACCCTGTGTTAATTCAAGGAAATTCAACAAAGGTCTGAAGTTTGCTGTATGGGTACTTCAGTCCTTCTTGTTTTGCTTTATTTTGAAATATCAAATTATTTCAAAAGGTATTTCAGTTTCCTTCTGGGCGTGGGAGATCACTGTGCATGGGTGTACCTCTCCTCCCTGGTAAGTTCATTAGAGCGGGTGTTTGTAGATGAGCAGACACGTCTTGGGCTGTAGCTTAGAGGTTAAAGATGCTGGGGTCCACGTGGGCCTTACAAATCAAATCCCGGCTGTAAAGCTTGAGAAACACCCTGGGCATGTGTGCACGCATATCCCACATCCTGACAGGATGGAGAAGTGGAGGAGAAAAGATTGTGGGGTGACCACGCCTCACTGAGGGAGGGATGCTTTCTCTCTCTGTCCTGCACACATGCCCTCTGGCAATTTCGTGTATGTGTAGAGAGAGAGAGTGAGAGAGTGAGAGAGAGAATATTTTTTATGAACTTGTAGCAACCTAGTTTTCATACTAAATCCTGCCATCATTTTATACAATGTAGGTTCCTTCAATCTGATTAATTCTCTCCTCGCAAGACAAATACAGAAATGAGAAGTTTAACTGACTTCATAAGCATGTTTTGAATTGAGGTCATTATGAACCAGGGGGATTTTGAAGGAAGAACAGGGAGTTTTGAAGAGCAGACTACACACCAGTAACAAAAGGCTGTCCCTGTGCTGTAAGGCTACCAAACGGAAGGTAGTCTTTGTTACTCAGGATGTGATTAATATTGCCTCATCATTTAATTTTAGAACTTCTTAAAATAAGGAAGCTTGCATCAGTTCAGGGCACATGTTTGGAACTTTAGAGTGTCTACTTTTTCTTTTCTTTTCTTTTTTTTTTTCTCTTCTTTTTAATTACAGGAGAAACATAAACATCACACAAAGTTTAGAAAGTAATGAACTGTAGCAAGTCTCCCATAACTCTTCTCTTTACCTTGACTACATCCTGTTAGTATGTTGTGGGAGTTCTGGTATTTTTTTCTTAAGGTATTTTTCTTTTTCTATTACCAGAGTGTGCATGCACGCCCTAAAGAGAAACAGAGGAGGAGAGGGAGAAAGCACCCCCAGTGGGGTACAGCCGTGCCACCACCCCACCCCTCCATTTCTCTACCCCATCTGGGTCTTTGACGTGCACACACATGCCTGGCTTGTTTTCAAGCCATCAAGGCCAGGATTCAAACCACGCTCCATCTTGGGGATCCACCTCCCTTAACCATTAGGCTACGGACTGTCCCTTTTTTCATGTACTTATAACAGTGTTCGCCATGTAATTTGAAGCTGATTTATTTTCTCTTAACCTTACTTCCTATGGTTTTTCCCTCTGGTGATCGTCTTCACGTTAGCTGTCATTCTCTGCATGATCCCATCCTTCTGACCGGTAGTCCACAATGTCCCTAACTGCGTGCCCTGTTGCCGGGCATGGAGAGCGCTGGCTCCCGTACAGGACAGCAGTTACCCAGGGCCTGCCCCCGCCCCCGCCCCCTTCACAGTGTTTGCACAGCTCACGGAGGTGATAACCCATCGCCTTTCACGCAGTGCTGTGCATTTTCTAAACTGAATTCCTTTCTGTCCAGTTTCCCTGACGTAGTTCGTTCTACACGGGGTGGTGAGGGAGTGGTCGTGAGCCACGTCATGAGTGGGCATATTTACCTGTTTTTCAGCGGCGAAAGTGGTGCCGGGAAGACGGTGGCTGCCAAGTACATCATGAGTTATGTCTCCAGAGTGTCTGGAGGGGGCCCCAAAGTCCAGGTGAGTTGGCGATGGTGCAGTTTGAGGCCTTATGCTATGTGAAGTGTGAGAGGTTCTGTTTGCTGTAAAAGATAATTTTATAGGGCTGGCATGTGGCACGGTGATTAAGACCCTGAACTATGGTTCTAGTCCCGGAAATGGCAACTTCAAAATCACACCAGCTGCTGTTTGCATGTGCGTACATGCCCAAAATCCTGAGAGGATAGTGGGGAGGACGTGGCACGGTCATCCTCTCTGGGGTGTGATTTTTCGCTTTCCCCCTCTCTCTGTCTCTCCGCAGTGAGCACACATGCTCCATGACAAAACAAAACAGAAAAATAAAAACAACAACAAAAAACACAAGAATTTCCTTCATAGAAAAATGTTATTGGTTGATGTTAGTTATATTAACTAATTGTCTTGTCATAAGAAAATATGTATGTATGATTGATTAATCACATATTAGCTCTATAACCAAGAAATTTGAAATTGGAAAAAATTATAACATATTTTAAGAAAGACATTTCTTTTTTTTTTTAAGAATTATTTATTTATTTATTTATATTTATATTTATTTTAATTTGAACAGAGGGAGACAGAGAGAGAAAGTGAAAAAGCAATCTGCCAGGTCCAGGACATGAACCGTGGTTGGCCATGTGGGAGTCCAGCACATTAACTACCACGCCAACTACCGGCCCCCCAAGAAAGGCATTTCTAATATAGAATGAGCTCCTACAAATCAGTAAGAAGGTCCACAGGACATGGAAGACACTTTAAAGGAAAAGAAATATAATGACTCATAAAAAGTACAAAATATGCTCACCATCATGATAATAAGAGAAACACAAATGAAAACTTGCATAGAAACGATTTTTACCTAATGAATTGGCAGAAAGCTTGTGCGTTGGAAGCACCTGTTGGTAAGAACATAGGGACACAGTCGTTCCCCTCCGCTGCTGGTAGATCTATGAACTAGTCTACTTTTTGGAGGGCATTTCAGCAGGCTGTCAAATTTCCTCACATACACCATGTGACTCAGCAACTCTGCATAAGAGAATTTATTCTGTAGATAGGCTGAAATATGTGCAGAGTTGTATATATGTGAAGTTGTTTAGCATTTTGGTTGTGGAAAAAACTGAAAACAACTTAAATGTTTATTCATTTATAACTAGTGAAAAAAACTTACAATTTATCATATAATGGAATATTATATAGCCATAAAAAATGAGGTTTCTTATACTGACATGAAATGATCTTCCAAGATATGCCATTAATTGCAAAAAGCTAGGTTTAGAACCTTGTGTATAATATGCTGCCCTTTGAGGACAAAAGACAGCATATATCATTATTTGTCTGGATACGCATCACAGATCCCTGGAAGGATACAGAAGAAATGGGTAACAATGGGTGCATTCAGGAAGAGAAGCTGAGAGACTGGAGGAAAGGTTTGCTCTTCCTGTATACTCTGTAGAAACTTTGTTTTGAACTATGAATAAGTTGCCAATGTGTGAAATTTATAAACATTCTAAAGGAAAGAGAAAAAGAATGGGAAAAGAAAGAAAGAAAGAAAGAAAGAGGGAAAGATCAGAGAATATGAGGAAATGTTAGGAAAGGGAGAAACCCAGAGAACTAGGATACATGAGAGGTACAAAGAAAGGAACAAGAGTCTGACCTGTTCCTCTGAGTGTGATGGCGAGCTCGGGCCCATGGAGAGCTGCCCGGACACAGAGCCCTCATCCTTGGCACAGACACTGGTGAAAATGAGAAGTCACGCTTCAAGGAGCATCCATTCTAGATCACCTTTTTCGGGCCAGCCCTGTAGCATAGTGATTAAGTGTGCCAGATCCCACGTGACTGATAGAGGTTTGAATCCCAGCTTCTGCAACCTGCAACACACACCAGGCACGTGTGCATGCATGCCCAACATCTCAGGAAGAGAATGGAGGAGGAAGGATTATCATAGGGCCATCCTCCCTGAGAAGTGATCTCTCTCCAATAAATGCACGCACCCTCTGGCAAAACCTATTTAAAAGGGAGAGGGGACAGCAGGTGGTATGGTGGTTAAGGTGCCAGACTCGCTCATGGCCAGCCAGGGTTTGAGGCCCGGGATTGGCAGCTTGCTTTCTCACTTTCCTGCTCTGTCTCTCTCTCTCCCTCTCTCCCTCTCTCACAACCACACACCTTGTGTATATATGTGTATATATATATATATATTCTTTTAAAATCAGAATCATTTAATTAGCAATGTGGTTGCCATGGTCAGCTGTAGACTTTAAAGAGACACATTAAAATTCTCTTTGTTATAGAGCTATCAACGAATTAAATAGTGTTCCTTAACCCTGCAGTTGGTAGAGTAGTGACCTGCAGTGCTGGAAGCCACATGGCCTATTGTGGTTCAGGTCCCTGGCCTAGTTGACCTGAAGTGCACCAGGAATACACACAGGCCCGAAATCCTGAGGAGCTGAACTGCTAGAAGGAAAGGATCACAGTATGGCAGACCCTGTCGAAGGTGCTTCTCTGTCCCACGTGCCCATACATGTGTGTGCGTACACATGTGCTCTCTGTCATGAACAAAAGTAGTGAAACCTAAAACAAACAGGGCTCCCTCATGTCCTCGTGGATCAGAAAGCTTAAAGCAGAACCCAGAATTCCTTATGTAATATGAAAGAGTCGGGGGACCCAGAGTTAGCGTAATCGCTATATTGCTGGACTGGACTCCCATGTAGTTGACCATGGTTCAAGTCCTGGACCTGGTGGCTTAAACTCACGCCAGGCGTGTGTGCGTGCTTGCCCAAGATCCCGAGAGGAGAATGGAGGAGAAGGGATTACGGCATAGCCATCGACCCTGGGGGGTGATTTCTTGCTTTCTGTCTCTCTGTCTCTCTCTGTCTGTCTGGCGAGTGCACGCACCCTATGGCAAAAAAACCTCTTAAAAAAATTATGTTTAGAATATATTTTATTTAACACTGAACGATACTTTCCCTTTTATCATATAATCAGATATTTTGTTCTTTGGGGTACCAGGTCTTTGCCATGCCACTCAGCAGCCACACGTGGCCGTGGCTTCCATACTGGACAGCAAGTGAGCTCTGGAACCTCGTTGGCGGGGCTCAGTTCACTTGAGTTTATTTGTTCATGTGATCGTCTGTCCTGAGAGAGCTTGTACAGAGAAAGGAATCCAGGGTGCTGCTTTGTAGATGGGCTTCCTTTTTTTTTTCTAAATTATTTATTTTATTTTTAATAATTTTTAAAAAATTGCTATAGGTCAGTGCACTCACCAGAGTGAAACACACAGACACACACACACACACACAGAGAGAGAGAGAGAGAGAGAGAGAGAGAGGGACAGTGAGAAAGCAAGCCGCCAGGCCTGAGACTTGAACTATAGTTGGCCATGTGGGAGTCCAGTACCGTAACCACCATGCCACCTGCTGGTCCTGGGCTTCCTTTTTACCTTCATTTATTCTTTCTCTTTTCCTCCATATGCATGGCACAAAATTCTGTTGGCCGTCACTGATAGTTGATATATAGATGTGGATGGATGCATGGATGGATGGATATATGTATCAAGATTCTCATTGTATGTCCCCACTTAATATATACTGAGTGTCTGCACTCTGAAATATATATATATTTGAAACCATACTGCTTCTGTTGTTATAGAATCATAAAATTATACAAAATTATAAGACATATTTTGAACATTATCTTTAAAATTCAGTATTTTGAAATTTTGAAAGTTGTTTGTAAACTGTCAAGAATTATGGATTATGAGCTAAAATGTTTTGCTATGTAAAGAAAATGTTTGTGGAAAACTTTAAAAATAAATAAATGAAAGAAAAAAAAGATTCTCAGTTTAAGGATTAAAGAAGGGAAGAGATAAAGAAAGGCTTTTCTTTTGTTCTCTTCTTAAAAGGAACTGAGTGTTGCTAAGTGGCATAGGTCAACATATAAAAGACAGAAAAGGTTAACTAAGATCCATGCACTCCAAATTAATTTTACAAAGAAAAGTTTATTTAAATCCATGAGTTACTAAAGGAGATTAGGAAATTTGGAAGTTTTTTCTTTCTTTTTAATTGTCAGGAGGTACATGTGCTATCTAGAAAGGCAGAAACCGAGAGAGGGAGGGGGAGAAAGCATCCCCCACACAGTGGGGCATGGTTACACCACAATTCCTTCTCCTCCTCAGGACTTTGGGTACACACATATACACTCCCAATGTGTTTTAAGCCACCTGGGCTGAGATTCAAACCACAGTCAGGCACATGGGCTCCACTTCCTCTAACCACTAAGTCGTGGGGCCAGCTCAGAATTATGTTTCTCAACTTTGAAACTGACCCCATGGAGAGCCCACCCAAAACGTGCCCTTGGTGCCATTTCTATGGATTACCCAGTCAGGATAGAACCCTCGTTCTCCTTTCTCATGGCAGCTTCTCTTCTGCATTTTCAGGAAGGTGCAGAAAGGACCACTGTGGCTGTTACACAGTCGATTAGTAGTTAGTATCTTCATGTAGGTCTGTTCCCCTCAGCCTAGACCCGGTAGGCAGACTGCAGACAGTCACTGTTGGTTTTTCTCTTCCTGTTTTCCTTATGAGGACAATGATACGGAACTCTTGGCTGGGAATTAGTCAGTAGCTAAAGAGCACAAGCCAGAAGACTTGTTATTTCTGGAACACGTTTAACCATCGCATGTGAATAATTAGAAGTACAAGGCATGACTCACTTGTTGAAAGACTTCTCCAACATCAGATCCTCCAGCATCAACTCCTATCTGTCGAGCTGCCTCTTGTCCATGGGTGTGTCTTGCACACTTTCCAGTCTGGCACAGAATCGGGGTGTTTGAAAACTAGATTTCACCCCTCTGCTAGGTTAGGAATTGCTCCACACAATCCAGGATTCACCTTTGCTGCTCAAAGTGTGGATCATGCTGGCAAAACCAGCAACACCAGGATAGAGATCCAGATTTTGGGAGCCCCACCCAGACCCTCTAAATCCACACCTGCATTTTAGCAATGTACCCAGGTGATTCATGTACATCTAAGTGTGAGAGCAAAAGGCCGTCTTCCCATTGCCTCATTTGGGTAGGAGAGACTAACCGATTTCCTTTAAGACAGATCTCCTGCGATGGAGTGGGTGGAGGTGGAGATGCGGTAGGCTGGTAGAGTTGTTGCAGAGCAGTAGCTGACAGTAAAGACTGGTTAGAACAGCAGGGGATACCCTTCAGTGCTTCACGTTCCTTCTTGCTGTGATCCTCAGCACACCCAGGAATGACAGGGGAAGCTGCCATCACCAATTTGGAAACTTAGTCTGGATCTTAATTCATTGGTGCTACCCTGGCTCTAGGCCAGGGGTCCCCAACCACTGGGCCACAGACCAGTGCCAGCCCATGGCCAGATGGGAGCCAGTTTGTGGACTGGTGCCAGTCCGCCAGGCAACGCAGCAGAGGGGTGGGTGGCAGGCCAGTGAGTGAGCGTGGCTTCACCTGTGTTTGCAGCCGCTCCCCATCACTCGCATTGCTGCCTGGGCTCTGTCTCCTGTCGGAGCAGCCGCAGTACTGGATTCTCACGAGAATGCGAACTCTTGTGTGATTGTTTCCTTGTATACCACAGTGTAGTAGTGATGGAAATGGGACCAGTCCCCTACCACCCCACCACCCCTTGTTTGTGGAGAGATTGTCATCTATTGAGGCTGGTCCCTGGTGCTGGAAATGTTGGGGATCATTGCTGAAGTGCATCCTGCTTCAAGCCAAGGGACTTAGGGGACCTGAACACTTAAAAAGGTTTTGGTCTTTTGCACAATGGAAAAATAAATCCTCCAGGGCCACATGGATATGGGCCCTCACCTTACCACATTCTCCTTTGGAGAATTTGACCTTACTCTGCACAGTAGGTGTCTGCACCCCCCTAACCTCCGATCTTTTTGCCACGACAGCATGTGAAGGACATTATCCTGCAATCCAACCCACTGCTGGAGGCCTTCGGGAACGCCAAGACAGTTCGGAACAACAACTCCAGCCGATTTGTAAGTCTCTTCCCTGTTTCTGAGACTGTCGCCTGACGGATGATGTCGCTGTCCCTAATTCATGCCTGGTATCCCAGAGGACACGAGTGCTTTTCACACAGCGTCAGGACGCTGCCTTTTCCATCTTTCTCCGTTTCCTGTAATGGTGTGCAGTGAGGCTTCAGTTCGTCCCTTGACAGCAGTCCCTTTTGAGCTCCAGGGATGCAAACAAGAGTATTCTGAAAACGGTGTTTGGCTTGGATTACCTTGCTAATAAGCAAAATAAGAATGGATAAAAGTGGCAGCTTGGGTTCCGGAGGAGTTTCTTTTACTGGGGAGAAAAGACCTTGCTTCCCAGACAATGAAGTGAGTAGAGTAGACAAGTGTCCCTGGTCGTTGCTCCCAGCAGGAGTTTTGCCTCTTAGAGCTGTGTCTGTGGACGCTGGGACGGAACCGGCTTCTTGCAGAGATCCGTGCTCCTCTCCACCTCTCCAGTGAGCCGAGTGCTGCGTGGCCCACCCTCATAGGTAGCGTTGCGCGTTTATTTTATGTATAGCCGTGTCACCCAACGATATCCCAGAGTGCCTGGACTGGCCTCCCAGATCGCCACCTAACTGGCTCACTCCCCGAGGTAATGACAATGTCAACCCAATGCATCGTTATAAATGCCACTTCAACTTTTTCTGTCTGGGTGGGCCGGAAGGCTGGCAAGGAGGAATATGAACATATTCCCCTTGACAAAAAGCCACATTTCCAAGGGAAAAAATGTTTACCCAGTAGCTTTGATTTATATAGATTTTGCATTTTAGTTCAGCCATCTATTATCTCTGGCAGTGGAGCCGTCAAGGAGCCATCTGCAAGGCTGATTCGAAACCATTTTTTAAATAAATAAGTGAGAATTGGGGAGAAAAATTCTTTGTTTCTTTCTGTTTGGGAAGGAAGCTTCCATTTCCAAGAGAATTCTTACTACTTCTCATGCCATAATTGAGTCCTGATGAGTTCTCTGTTAGACCGGCTCCTGCTTTCCTTGCTGCCTGATCTTGTTCCAAATATTTGCTTCTCTGTCATGTTTTTTGGGTCAGTGCCCATGGCTGTATTATCTTGAAGAAGTTTCTAGATAAGGAAATAGGAAAGATATAAGGAAATTTTCCACTTGACCTTTTTTTCCCTCTAATTGTCCATTTAAATCTGCCTTGTAAAAATAGGCTTGACTGGGGCCAGCAGGTAACATGGTGATTACGGCACTGGACTTACACATGGCTGACTGCAGTTCGAGTCCTGGACCTGGCAACTTGAAAATCATGCCAGGCATGCGTGCCCAAAACCCAAGAGGAGAATGGAGGAGTAGGGATTGCGGTGTGGCCATCCCCTGTTGAAGGGTGATTTCTTGTTTTCCCTCTGTCTCTGGCAAGCGCACGTGTCTCATGGCAAAAACCTTTAAAAAAAAATAAAATAAAATAGACCTAACCAAGTTTAAACCCCTAGTTAGTTTGCCTGCTCTTGCCTTTCTTAGAGAGCAGAAACAAATTTTTTTCTCAAATGTTTTTCCCCTGAATTATTCACTTTTTTTTTTTTTTTGGAGAAGTTTTGCTATAGGGCGCGTACACTTGCCAGCAAGACAGAGAGACAGAAAGTGAGAAAGTGAGAAATCACCCCCCAGGGGGGATGGCCACACTGCCATCCCTTCTCCATTCTCCTCTCGGGATCTTGGGCATACACGCACATGCACCTGGCATGAGTTTAAGCCACCGGGTCCAGGGCTTGAACTGCGGTCGACTACATGGGAGTCCAGCAACATAGCCATTACATCAATTGCTGATCACCCCTAAATTTTTCTTTATCCTTGGAGGCTACGTCAGTCAATTTTTATAAATAATAAAAACAGAACCGACAGTTTTACTTTTCTGATTACAGAATTTCATACAACTGTGGTTAAAAGGTAGGGAGAGTGTGGACGGACGTCTCAGACACATCTGCACACGCCATGCATGCACACTCAGGCAGACGTCTCAGACACATCTGCACACGCACGCATGCACACTCAGGCAGTTAGGCCTGACGACAGCAAAAGACATTCTCACGAACAATGAGAAAAATGTAAATTAAAACTACATATGATTTCTGTCTCTTAGATAGCCAAACATTAAGCAGAGTGACAATAACAGGGAAGACACTAGCGGTTGAAGACTGGCACGTTCTCTCAGGAGAACAACTTGATGAGTTATTAGAGCTGGCTCCATAGCGCAGCATTCAAGCGCTGTACAAAGAAAGACATGTTGACAGCAGTTCAAATCCCAGCTCTGGTGCCTTGAAAAACATGCCAGGTGTATGTGCGTGCCCCAAATCCCAACAGGATGGAGAGATGAAGAAAGGATTGCAGCATCAACATGTCCCAGTAGGGGTGGGTACATCCCCCCACACTCCCGTTGTGCCCACATGCCCTCTAGCAATTGAAAACACAGACACGCGCGTACACACACACACACACACACACACACAAATGCTCATTATCTTTGACCACACAATAATTTTCAGGTAAATTATCTTAAGTTTCTTGTTACAGAACTGCTTATTTAAAAAGATACCATAACATATTGTTAAATTTTAAAAAACAGATTCTAGAACTATATCTTCAATATGGTCACATTTTTGTTTTAACATGAAAATAAGGCCAACTATGCAGTTCGAGTTCCAGACCGAGTGGCTCGAAAAACACACCAGGCATGTGTGTGTGCGTGTGTGCCCAAATCCCCAACAGGAGAGAAATGGAGAAGGGACTGCAGCGTGACCATTGCCATGGGGTGTGCCTTCTCCCTTCTCCTTCTTTATCTCTTGCTCTCTCTCTCTCTGTCTTTGGTGAGCACATGCAGCCTCTACCAAATTAAAAACTTATTATAAAATAAAACAAAATAAAATGCACATGTTATACAAAACATAATTAAGGTATATGTAAACCCAATTGAATACATAATTATAGTGGTTATTTACCAGAAAATAACATGGGCACCAGCAGATGGTGTAATGGTTACGTCACTGGACTCCCACATAGTCAACCACAGTTCAAGTCCCCGACTCGGCAGCTTAAACTCACAATGGGTGCATGTGCGCATGGGCCCACGATCCTGAGAGGAGAATGGAGAAGAAGGGATTGTGGCATGGCCATCACCCCTGGGAGGGGAATTCTCGCTTTCTATCTCTCTCTGTATTTCTGGAGAGCATACACACCCTATAGCAAAAACCTCTCCAAAAAAAGAAAAATGAACATGTATTATAAATCATAAAAATTTGAGGCCAGTAGGTGGCATGGTGGTTAAGAGTGTTGGCCAACCGCAGTTCAAGCCCCAGACCTGGTGGCTTGCTTTCTCACTTTCTCTCTCTCTCCCTCCCTCCGTCCCTCTCTGGTCAAAATTAAATAAATAAATAAATAAAGTTAAATAATTTTTTTTAAAAAGTCATAAAAATTTATATATTTTCTACTTATAATAATGTTAAAAGGCAAACATACTTTAAAATGTTTCAAACATTACTTAAAAACAATACAATAAACGCCTATAAACCCAGCCCTGAGTTTAAGATATATTACCAACAGTCAAAGCTCCTCTCCATTTAATTGTCAAAATGCAACGTCCTGTTCCCTTTATAAAATTTCCTGCCTTTCTCTAGTCTACTATCTAAGGGGATTTTGAAAGATTTGTGGTAAAATGGAATTAAAATACAAGTTTATAATGGTGCAAAAGAAAAGGAAATTCATGCATAGTTTTTTCATAATATGCATTTCCCATGAACTTTTTGAAAACACCTCCTCTGCCCCCTAGCAATTCTAAACTTTCCGACCTCTCATTAGGAATTTTAACGTTTAGGTTTTTGCCATAGAGTATGTGCGTTCGCCAGAGAAGAGAGATATGGAGAGAGGGAAAGTGAGACATCACTCCCCAGTGGGGATAGCCATGCCTCAATCCCTTCTCCATACTGGTCTCAGGATCATGGGCACACACACACGCACGCGAGCACGTGTGCACACCTGGTGTGATTTTCAAGCCATGATCAGGCATGTGGGAATCCATCTGCCTTAACCACCATGCCACCTGCTGGCCCCAGGAGTTTTAACTTCTATATGACAATTTTAAACCGTGCAAAGACATTTTATTACATCGGGTAGTTGTGTCAATCTGGGCTGCAAATGAAACGCACCTGTTCTCTGTTCTCCACCGCGGGGTTGTACCTCTGTCTGCAAAGACCCTGATGTGCTAGCTCTGGGGCAGCACTGCACCCCAGCAGAAGGGCTCCCCACGTGTTCCTAATGAACAGCCAACTGCTAGAAGGACCTGGAAGTTTGCCATTGCCACAGCTGCACTTGGGGTCCAGTGGGTGGGAAATGGGGCGATGAGCACTGAATGGTTCAAAGGTGGTGGAGGGCGGGAGGCACAGCGACCTCGTTCAGCTTGTTTCCCTCAAATATCACCAGCGTCGAGGACAGTAGTGACTGGTTCTGCTCCGAGTCAGGTGCTCCCGGTGTTCGTTACAGTCCTGTTTTTGTGGAAGGGTGGCAGTGGGCATCTAATTAAGACATCTGAAAGAGGGCCGCTTTCCTTTGAGGTCTTCCCATCACCTGGAATCAGATGTAACTCAGCAACAGGAACGGGACATGCTCACTGCCATGGGTGACAGGAACAACGTGGAAAGGACTTTTCCTGAATGAGTTTATGGCTCTAGTCACAGTCTTGTGGCCCAGCTGAGTCCAGCCCTGAGACGGGTGGATTTAAAAAATAAAAATTTGTGTGCTATGAAATGTGAATCAGTGAGGCTGGCGTGCACTCGAGTTTGGCCTAAGGCCACACTGTTCCCTACGGGTTTTCCAGCAACTTTTTCCTGACTCCGAGGGAGCTTAAGTGTCTGAGGATTGGAGAGAAGCTCAATTCTAGTAAGAAAACAAAAATCATTAATTTAATAACCTGGATATCTTTTCCAACTACATTCCAGGTCTAATTCTCCTTTGTTCCCTACTAGAGGTCATTTTAAAGGAATATTAATAACAATGGGAACAAAAATCCTCAGACCCACAAGTAGCTAGAAAGAACCTTATAGTATTTTTATTTTAGGTAATAATTTTAGATGGTCCAGAAGCAAAGGGGATTGAGTGCCTATGCTCAAAGCCATGAAATGAAGCCTGCCAGGGGAAAAATTTGCTTCCTCTGAAAGTGGCTGACAGAGTTCACTTTTGTTAGACGGAGTGTACCACGTGATTTCCCTGCCCCATTCTTTACACCTTCCTGCCGAACAGGCAAGCACTTCCCAGGGGAAGTGGGCCTGGAATATGACCGACCCTTATTCAGTCAGGCCGAGCAGAGACTCTGTCCCTCAATGCAGAATTGTGTGATTAGACAAAAGCTCAGGTCTGATAGGAAAAGGTGAGGAAGTCGAGGCCAAAATTGGGAGTCATTCAGAACATGTCTTCATTAGTGAATTTCCTTGAATTATTTACTGTATTCAGAGCTTGTGTAGAACATCATGTTTTTGTTCACTGACCATTGAAGGAAATCCCTAATTTTCTTGCAGGGAAAATACTTTGAAATCCAGTTCAGTCCAGGTGGGGAACCAGATGGTGGAAAGATCTCCAACTTCCTTCTGGAAAAATCTCGGGTGGTGATGAGGAACCCTGGAGAGCGGAGTTTTCACATATTTTACCAGGTTCTCCTTTATGGTTTTATCTTTCCCACTTCCTATTCCCTATCCACATTTTAAGAAAAGTTGTTTTGCCTTTCCTCTCAGCCCTCCATAAAGTTTAAACAATCCAGTCTGTCAAGTCAAGGAGGATTGATTACGATAGCACAATTGCAAAATTGTCAGAATAACCCTACCATCAAGGAGAATAAGTTCTAGTTGGGGTGATAAGACAAAAATTCCCCCCAAGTTAAATAGTCTGGAAAATATAGATATGACTTTAAAAAAAAAAAAAAAAGGAGTGGGGCCAGCAGGTGGCACAATGATTAAGATGCTGGATTCCCACTTGGCCAGCCATGGTTCAAGGCCTAGACCTGGCAGCTTGAAAATCACGCCAGGTTCATGTGTGTGCGTGCCCAAAATCTGAGGAGGAGAATGGAGGAGAAAGGATTGTAGCAGCCATCCCTGTGGGGGATGATTTCTCACTTTCCTTCTCTCTGTCTCTGATGAGTGCACATGCCATATGCTGAAAACCTTTTAAAAAAAAAAAAAAAAAGGAGTATTTGATTTTTTGACAAATAGGAATTTTCAGGGGCAGGTCTGGCCTGGGTGGGAAGGAGGATGGTAGGGACACAGCGTCGACAGTGAGAGGAGGTAACCGACAGGGAACATGAGCAGTGGAGGTGAAAGGGGGATGCCAGTTAGCAAGCCGGGCCTCAGCCAGTCTGCCGGGGCGGTGTCTCCACATGGTAAACCATTGGCAGAAGGCCTCACTGTTGGGGAAAAATAGGCTTGGGATCTTTCATGCCAAGTCAGAAAGTTTCCACTGAGACACAGAGGCCTGGGAGGGTTTGGGCTAGAGCAGTGTGCTGGATGCTTTGAAATGGTGTTCTAGACTTCAGCAGTCATCTGAGTCAGTATTTTTAAAATGACTTTAAGTATTTACAAAATATCATGATGCCATTATCAAATTTTTTTTATGTTTGGTTTACTTCCCATTTAACTTTTGTGAAGAAGGTCTTGGTAATTGTTTTGTTTTGAGTTTGTTTGAAGCCCGCTAGATGAAAAGGAAGTTCACCATGGGAGTAGCTCACAGGCCATCTTTTCAACAGCTTAGATGATGGCAAAAAAAAAATGACTTTAGTTGGAGCTTCTTGGTTGAAAACGTACACAAACGACCGATGTCTTCTGTGAATTCAGTAATGCTTTTAATTGCACTGCTCAAAGCAACATGTCGAGATGAATGAAAAAGTATGTGTATCTCACACAGACACACGCACACACGCTGTGTATTATTTACAGAGCGTGAGACAGAATGCACAATGGATGCCACAGCCCCCCTCAGTACACGCAGGCTCCACCCCACCTACGTGCCTTCTGCTGTAGGTCAGAAACCACCAGGACGGGCTGGGAGTAAGTTCAGGGCTTCAAGATTCTGACATAACAGTAATGGTTGAAGCCATGCAACAAACGAGACCCCATGGACTTGAATGTGGAGAAAATATAATGCCCATACGAGACCTGGAGGCTGTCTGCATGCATAGGAACGAGAGGCACAGAGGAGCCAGGGCACTGCACAGGACAGGAGTCAACAGAGAAGGAGGAAGCCCTGGATCCAAAGCCAGGGGAAGCCTTCGTGGGAAGACCAAAAAGGTCAAATGCTCAGAAATCTTGGAGGAATGGCACAGGCCAGGGGTCTGAGGACCAAAGAGGGCTGTTGGCTTTAGCCCTGGGAGGCATGCCTGAGGGATCTCACCGGAGCGGTGAGGGCAGGGTGGCTAAGCTGCGGTGCCAGTAGATTCTGCTGCTTGAAGAAGTCGGAGGCAGGAAAAGCTCCTCGGGAAGGCAGAGAGCAGCGAGTTTGTAGATGGAAGCTGGCTGGAGAATGCAAGATCTCCAGATGCAAGTGAGGGAGGACTGCAGGGTGTGAGTGGGGAGACGACTGAAAACGAGGGAAGAATGTTCTCATTTTTAAAAAAGGCAGAGGGAAAAAAGAGGGGTGTTAAAAAACAAGACTGAGGAAATGGGGGGAGGGGGAAACAAGGAAGCTTGATGATGTCAGATGACCTAGAACTTCTCAGGAATGGGAATGAAGCCACCTGTTTGGAGAGGGGAGCCAAGATGGCATGAAGAACTAGACAGAAATAGAGGCGTGTACGCAGGACCTGTCTGTTTTTCTAAATACCCTGGGTTCGCGCAGTGGCTAACTGGAGCTGGCTCACGTGGGTTGCTCAGTCGCTGCCCCCCCTCCTTCTGTGACAACTCTTTGGTTGTTGGACACCTGTCATGAGGGGAGTGTTCCTACCCTGGTTATCAGCAAATGCTACAAATCCATGTCTTCCCCCAAGTGCTGGTTGCTCAACATTTTCCAGCAGACACGACTGGTTACAGTTCTTTAATGGGGTCCTGTCCCAAGGTACATATCACGGTGGGGACAAAAAGCCAAGACTGTCAGTTGGCCAGAGGTTTCAGAATATTAGAAAGACAGACCTCCATCTGTTTTTTAACATGCATCCTACAGTGAGAAGCATGGAGGAGCCGGCCCCACTTTAAAAAGCCACGAGCAAGTTTTGGTTTCAGCTCTCCCAAGGGAGCACAAGTGTAGCCATGCGGTTCCCTTCATTAGAAAAGGAAAACCCCACTTCTCAGACTTGGTAAGAGGCAGAATTTGCAGGCCAGTCAGTGGCATGGTGGTTAAGGCAGCTGGATCCCACATGGCCAACTGCACATTTCAGTTTGAGTCCTAGACCCGATGGCTTGAAAAACACTCTGGCATATGTGCCCAAAATCCCGAGAGGAGAATGGAGGAGAAGGGATTGCAGTGTGGACATCTCCCCAGGGAGTGCTTTCTTACTAACTCCCAACCCCCTTTCTATCCTCATTCTTTCTCCAGTGAGCATATGCACCATGTAGCAAAATTTAAAAAAAAAAAAAGAAAGAAAGAAAGAAAAGAAAAAGATCAGATTTACAGATTTGGGGCCACTACAGGTAGAGCAGTTATCCTGAAGCTCCTTGGTAGTTTTTTATAGTTTGGAGACTAGGACTACCCTCAGTTTTAAAAAAGCAGGAGTGAAAGTCCTCATCCCCTGGGTCTGTGGGTGGTGGCAGCAGGTCAGTGCCGAGCCTGCGGTCCAGGCCATGACACTCCTGCGTTCTCTCGCTCCAGCTCATCGAGGGCGCCTCAGCGGAGCAGAAGCACAGCCTCGGCATCACCAGCATGGACTATTACTACTACCTGAGCCTCTCCGGGTCGTACAAGGTGGATGACATCGACGACCGACGGGAGTTTCAGGAAACCCTGGTAAGTGTGCGTGGGGCCAGCTGGGACTGGGCACTGGCTACATGCCCACTGGCTGTGTGGAGGGCTGGGACGGTCAGCAAAACAGAGAGCAGCAGGGGGTGCCCATGGGCTCCAGCTGTGAGCACGATAGCACCCTGGGGCGGCCAGTGCCTGCCTGCCATGAACGATCTGAGAGGTATAAAAGGGAGCTCAGAGTCCTTGCAGGGAGTCAGCCACAAGAACTCTCCGGGAGGAAGCCAGACCCGGAGACCGTCTGCACAGCCGCGGCAGCTCTGAGCACTTCCTCTAGGGCCCTCCCGCCCTTATTGCTAGAGGAGCGTGTTCATGCTGTGTTCAAAGACCGACCTGCCCTTCTAGTGTGACTTGGCACTGAGAAGAATGTGTGCACTGGGGACATCCCGCAGCCATCGTGAGCTAAGCCTCATGTAGCTCACAATCCAGCTTGTGCGCTGGGGTCCTTCCCACATGTTTATAGAGCTGGTGACTTTCTTTCTGTTTTCTGTTCAAACTTGCCCGAGTACATGTGTGCTCACCAGAGAGACGGGGAGGGAGACAGCAAAGCACAGACCTGTGCAATCCTTTCTCCTCCATTTCTCTCTCCCTTCAGGATTTTGAGCAAGCACACACACTTGAGTATTTCTTGTTTTTCAAACCTTTGGGTCTAGGACATGGACTGCATAGTCTGCCATGTGAGAAGCAGCACCCCTAACCGCTAGGCCACAGGCAGGCCCACGCTGGTGACCTTCTTATTTGGGTGATTTCGCTCCTCTTTTCCAGCATGCAATGAATGTGATTGGGATCTTCGCAGAGGAGCAAACGCTGGTGTTACAGATCGTGGCAGGCGTCCTGCACCTGGGGAACATCAGCTTCAAAGAAGTTGGCAACTACGCAGCCGTGGAGAGCGAAGAGTGTACGTAGCCCTGGCACACGGCAGTGACCTGAGGGGAAGCGGGTGGTACCTCCAGTGTGCTTTGCCTAGGTCTCAAGTGGAGTTCATTGGGAAGAGACAGGCAATCTCGTGTGTCCTACCGTGGCGGAGCAGGGTGGCTCTGGGTGCACAGAGGCCTCCCCTAGCCCCCGCCAGCATCCTCATGTCCCACAGCCGAGGCAACTCGTGGAATCATTTCAGTCTTGGGGAAGCTTGGCAGAATTGCACATCTAGGTTTAAAGATAAAAGGATATCTTCAGTGAAGATTTCAGCTTGTAGCTTAACAACTCACAAGATAGGTCTCTTAGTGAACATCTTTTCTGTAACTGGTCTTTAGCTCTACATTCATCCAAAGGGTCTTAAGAGTGAGTGAAAGAATATATGTAAATACGAAAGGCCCACAGGTTCATACTTTGTCTTGTGGCTTAGGCTAGGTTGGATTTCTAAAAGTAGACCACACACATAAACACACACACACACACACACACACACACCACTCACACATGCACTAAAGGAACACTGACTATTGAGTTGACTTTTTTTTTTTTCCTTCTTCTTTTTTTAGTTTGTCAGAGAGCACTTGCGGTCACCAGAGAGAAAGAAGGGAAGGGAGAAAGCATCCTCCATTGTCATGCCATAATCCTTTCTCTTCCACTTTTCCTTCCTTTCACTTTTGGGCACACATGCACACATGCCCAGCATGTTTCTCCAGCCCCTGGGTCTGGGACCTAAACCACACTGTTGGCCATCTGAGATCAGCTCTTTTGACTACCAGGCCCTGGACTGGCCTTGTGTTGACATTTCTGATGATAGCGTTTCATGGTTGTGTCTTTAGTCAGATCTTCAAGACTTGAGTGGCCATTTTTACCCTTTGAGAAGAAATCAGAGTCTTTCCTCCTGAGAGAGATTCCCGTGTGCCCACGTTGACCCTAAGTACCGTGGTGCATGGCTTTAGCCTCGTAGGCATCCGTGGCTTTCCAGATTGCTCTCAGAGCCCACATTCTTTCACCACCCAGGAAGACATTTCTTCCTTTCTCAGCATTCTTCCAGAGTGATAAATTTAGATGCTTAGTAATAAATAGTATCCCACTCATTGCTGACAATGCAGTGGAGATCTTTCCATTCCAAATAAGGTTCCTTTTTATGTTTTTGTTTTGTTTTCTGATTTTTTTTTAAAAAAAGGGAAGTTCTGCTAACTTCTGATGTGTATCTGATAAAGAGAAAAAAGAATTGTTTACCAGGCAAGGGGACGGAAAATCATAAATATACAGGGAGTTCGTGAGGTCTAGAAACATGACCTAATAATTACCATAATGAGGTTTCTGGATTTTACGTATGTTACCCTGGACATTTAACACGGGCACGTACGTGTCCAGCGGGATCATTAACTCTTGGCTTTTTGACATTGACATTTGACGTGGCAGTAGTTTTAAGAAAAGTAGACCAGGTTTCTTCTGCCTTCTTGAATATTGAAATCCTTTACTGCCTTTTTATGCTTGAGAACAAAGTCAGGACACCGAAATAGCAAGCGTTGCCCTGGGTGTCTGAGCCGAGAACCGTTTCATTGCGCATCGGCGTCTCGCGTACCCACGGCCTCCTTAGCCAGATGGGTGGCGTCCAGGATTGGCCCTGCCTTGAAATTCCCCAACTGGAAGTGGTGGGGGGATGGAGAGCAGAAGAGGCTGTGCTCGAAGCCAGAGGAGTCATAATGAAGAAGTTTGCCTCCTCCCAATTATTTTCTTCTGCATCAGGTTTTGTTCATTTGTAATTCATTAACCTGGTTCAGGTGGGTGGAGAGTCGACGTCTTTCCACCAACCCTTTGTCTAGTCCACTTCTTCCTCTCCCCAGAGAGAACCAGGGTCTCAGTCTCGTGTGTTCCTTTAAGGGATGTGCATTCCAGATCAGCCATGCACGCCCATTCCTTTTTCCCACCTGCGGGCAATCATGAAAGCTGAGATACAATGTTCCGTAGTTGCTTTTCCACTTAATATTAGTCCTCGGAGACCTTTCTATCAGTTCATAATGAGCTTCATCCTTTCCATCGGTGCGTAGCGTTCTGTTACATCAGTTGGCTGCACTTAGATTTATTGAACCAGTTGGCCCTCTGCACCGGGCATTACGGTGGTCTTCTGATCTCCTGTTGCAGCGCTGAATGAACACAACTGAAATGAATCGCCTTGGTTCATGTTCCCTTCTCTTGGTTGCATGTATCTATGAGAGAAATTGACAGACACCAGTGCTAACTCCTGCTTTTCTACCTAAAGCTCATGCTTTCTCGACCCATCGTATTAGAGAACAAAATGCTACAACTGGTCTACTAAAGTAAAATGACCGTTACTAACAACAAATGTTCTTGATGACCGACCTGAGGCTAATGAAAATAGGGAATTTCCATAATTAAACTTCTTGTTGAGGAGTCAAACAAACCTCAGCTTGAGCAGGGTTCCCTGTGAATATTGGTAACTAAGGTGACACAATTTGCAAACAAGTTCTGCTCAAAAGGTACTAAATACCAATTACCCTAAGAATTATTTTGAAGGGGAAAAAAAAAAAAAAAACTACTTAAGTAACCTTGAGGAGAAAAGTACAAATGATAATGCTCCTCCTTTGTCTCATAACTAATGGATCACAAAACACAGAATCTCGGGCCAGCAGGTTGTTAAAGTGCTGGATCCCAAGTGACCAGCTCCATGGTTCAAGTCCTGGACCCAGCAGCTTGAAAATCATGCTAGGCACGTGTGCATGAGTGCCCGAAACTCCAAGAGAAAAATGGAGGAGAAGGGATTGTAGTGTGGCCGTCCGCTTGGCAGGTGATTTCTCACTTTCCTTTCCTCTGTCTGCCATTCTCTGGTGAGTGTATGTTCCCTATGGCAAAAATCTATACAACACAAACCAAAAAAATACAGAACCTCAACAGCAAAGTCAGATAAACTATTTACCTTGCCATTTCATTCCCACTTGTAAAAAATGTAATTTTGTTTTGCTACATCTTTTTGACTTTTCTTTCATCCCTACACTTTAGATTTAAAAGGAAAAAAAAACAAGTTCGCTTTGCACTTTAATACAGTGATGGAAATCTACCTTTATTATTTAAATGTGCCAAGACACTAATTTTTAATGGGCTCCTCTATGGTTAACTTGACTGATCAGCTCTACAAGTGTCATGTCAGCGTTTTCAAATTAACCCGTGCGTCTCACCTCTCCACCTTCCCAAGCCTCTGAGCTGCCATGCAGTCACCCAGCCGCACTCACATATGCCCTCATGGGAATTCACAGCCTCCAGGGAGCCCACATATCAGCACCAGGGAAGCCACTGGAGAAAATCAAGGCCATACAAACGTGGACTTGAACAAGACGTGGCATAGATTCGATTCAAACAATTACAGCCTGTTTTCCATATCCTCAGTTTCTACATCCCCGCGTTCAACCAACTATGGATCAAAATGTTGTGTTGGCGTTGTGGTCTATGTAGTTAGGCCTGCGGTGGTGCCTCTGTACTCAACACGTATAGACCTTTTGTTTTTCATTTCCTACATACTGCGTGTGCTCACACACGTGTGAGAGAGAGAAACTGAAAAAAAGCATCCCCTAGAGTTATAGACACACAGCAGTCCCTTCGCCCTTCTCCCTTCAAGATTTTGGTCATGCACGCACATGTACCAGGAGTGTGTTTTTCAAACTGCCTGGTCTGGGACCCAACCACTCAGTTGGCCATGTGAGATCCAGCCTCCTTAACAATTTGCCACCTAACTGACCCTATAGACTTTCTATTCTTGTCATTTTGCCCTCCACAGTGCAGTCTAACAACTATTTACATTGCAGTAGGCGTTATAAATACTCTAGGGACAGTACATGGGAGGATCTGTGCAGGTTATATGCAAATCCTACACCGTTTTACTTAAGACATTTGAGGTTTTCATATCTGCGGGGGGCCTGGAACCAATCCCCTGTAGATGCCAAGGAGCGTCTGGAGTGTGTTTCCTCTCCATTCTTCTTTCCTGTTTCCCTAAGCTTGTGGCTCTGATTCTTGGCCGAATTCCATGCCTTGTTTTTAAAGTGCCTGCTGTCCTTCAGTTCAGCTGAAGGGACAAGAGATGGAACTATGGCATATGTCTCTGTCAGGCCTTCAGTCTATTCTATTTCAAGGATACTCATCTCACCCCTTTTTGTTTGAGTTCTTTAGCTAAAGTCATAAAGATAATGGCATAAATATTTTGATGGAATATTATAACTATGCCCCCTTTTTATCATGGCGAGACTCTTGGAAGAAGCCCATATTTACAAAACAGACACATCAAGGCTCATTATTTACTTAATAAAAACAGTTACCGGGTACTCAGGAGGGTCAAGGAGCGCTGGTGGATGTGTTAGAGACCACTGGCGGGGATTTGCCGCACCCGGGGAGCCGTGTCCTTCGACGCGGCGATGAGAAGCAGCACGAAGGCTTCCTTTCGGTGGAGGCCTCTCCTGTGGCAGCGAGGGTGGTAGCTGCCTCTTGCTTCTCACAGCAGCTCTGCATGTGTGCACTCTGACTCACCTGCCATCTGTCCTTCCTCTGCAAAGATCAGTTTCAGTTTAGGGAAGAAACATCCAGATTCCTCGTCCTGGGCAACGTGGGAACAGAAGGACGTGGCCATTGCCAGATGAGGGTGCTTGGCTTTGTTTGCGTGCCTTTTGTAAAAGGAAGCCCCTCGGCTGGTCAGAGCCTTTCTGTGGAACTCGCAGATAGATGATAAGTACTTTACTCTGGCGTTACACGTTTTCAGAATGCATTCAGTGACTTAATCTCACTGGAAGGTATATACTGAGAAATGTCAGCCTGCTACATTCTGACACCATCTGTGAGATTCAGAGCATCCTTTATTGGGAGATAAGTGATTTTTGAGATATATGTATATGCGTATATATATATATATATACATATCGTTTTATCAGAGAATTTTAGTAAAGCTTTATGCATAAAAACTCATCCAGATTCAGAACTTTCATTTGCATCTATAAAAATGTTTCCATTTACACTGGGGAAATCTTAGCATTCTTTCACGCCCCGAAATGGTGTCTTTTATTCACATTGGAGTGTTGTGACCAAATGTCACGAAAACCACTATCCTGCCTCTTGGTGGCCCGAGATAAGTTGCTGAGCTGTGGGAGTGCAGCTTTTCTATCCAGAGGCCTCACGACGCAGCGTCAGGACGGGTGGGTGTGCTGTGCTGTGGACAGCACTGACTCCTTCGTTTTACCCCAGAAATCTCCCAGTGTCCCTCTTCAGAAGCCATCAAGCCCCCTTTCACCTGTAGTCCAGATATATCACTCACGGCACCCACTGTCCAAACCTATCCTTGCCTTTTAATCTACTTTTTTTTTTTTTTTATAAAAGCAACGGTTTATGTCATAGGGCACATACACTCGCTGGAGACACAGAAGAGAGAGAAAATGAAAAATCAGGCCCATGCCCCTAGTGTGGATGGCCACGCCACAGTCTCTTCTCCATTCTCTCTCTCTCTTTTTTTTTTTTTTTTTTTTGAAAGAGGTTTTTGCAATAGGGCGCATGCACTCGCCAGACAGAGAGACAGAAAGTGAGAAATCGCCCCCCAGGGGATGGGCATGCCACAATCCCTTCTCCTCCATTCTCCTCTCGGGATCTTGGGCACGCATGCACACATTGCGCCCAGCATGAATTTTAAGCCACCAGGTCCAGGACTCGGACTGCGGTCAACTACATAGGAGTCCAGCAACATAGCCATTACACCAACTGCTGTTCCCTCCTCCATTCCCTTTTTGGAATTTTGGGCACACACACATACGTGCCCAACATGATTTTCAAGCCACTCGGTTAAGGACTCGAACCATATTCAGCCATGTAGGAATCCAGTGCCTTAACCACCACACCACCTGCTGACCCCTCCATCTTCTGCTTTAACTTTCATTTGCAGACAGTGCTGGTCTACATCATGTGTCCCAGTTCTTGCCTCCTCATCTTTGCACACCGCATCCTCCCTCCCCTTTTCTCTTCTGTGCTCCTGTGTAAATCCTGCCCATCCATTTAGCCCAGTCGAGATCACACAACTTCCTTGGTCACTCCAGCAAGTAGTACTGCCTTCCTATTCTAAATTCTTCCAGAACTTTCTTAGTCTATTATATATTCAGTTTTTACTTGGGTTCTATATTAGGTAAACTCTCTTGGCCTCATCTAGATGGTCTTCAAGAGCTTAAAAATACTCCAAAAAAAGAAAAAGAAAAAAAAGGGAACCAGCAGTTAGTGTAGTGGCTATGTTGCTGGACTCCCACGTAGTCAACCACGGTTTGCGTCCCGGACCCGGTGGCTTAAAACTCACGCCGGGCGCGTGTGCGTGCGTGCCCAAGATCCCGAGAGGAGAATGGAGAAGGGATTGCGGCGTGACCATCCTCCCTGGGGGGTGATTTCTTGCTTTCTGTCTCTATGTCTCTCTCTGTCTGTCTGGCGAACGCACGCACCCTATAGTGAAAAAAAAAAAAAACCCTCTCCAAAAAAAAAATACTTTGTGTCTTCTCGTCCGTTTTTTGCAACTATACATAACGCTCAATAAATATATGATTGGTTAAAACTATGAGTTAAGTGGCAGCAGGTGCCTCATGCTCTTTGGAAATGATGCTACAAACGCATTATACCAGGGAGGAAGAACACAGGATTTGGAGCCAAAGAAATGTTTCTTGATCGAGTTCCTTCCGGGATGTCTTGCTTCAGACTTGGGAAGCTGACAATTTTAGGTATTTAACTGATCTCAGTAGGAGGGAGCGGTTTGCCATCCCTCTTAGGTTGCCCATTTGTATTATTGGAAGTCTCAGTCATTGTGGGAATTAAGTCATGAGATGAAACAGTTGGGGACAACAAAGGCCGTGGATGTCTGCGGGGTTGCTGATAAGCAGCGCTCGCTCACGCGTGCGTCGCCAAGGGCTCACCCACGAGTGCGTCTGTGAGATGAAATGTCACTGTGCTAAAAGAGCATCCTGTTTTGTTCTGTGCTCCCTAGTCTTGGCCTTTCCTGCTTATCTGCTGGGGATCAACCAGGACCGGTTGAAAGAAAAGCTCACGAGTCGGCAGATGGACAGCAAGTGGGGAGGCAAATCGGAATCCATCCACGTGACTCTCAACGTGGAGCAGGCCTGTTACACCAGGGACGCGCTCGCCAAGGCCCTGCACGCCCGCGTCTTTGACTTCCTAGTAGATGTACGTACACGCGGGGTGATGTGGGGGTGCTTCGCAGTTAGCCACCCACACAGTGAGCAAGGCAACTAAGGGTTTCGTTCGCGTGTTTGGGGCCTTTCACTTTAACTGTCACCTTACTCCTCTATTTTTCATTGTCTCACTCTGGGCCCCTGAATCCTGATCCTGCCCCACTTCGTTTATGATAGAGTATGTGTGTACACCCATGAGAGTGAGAGAGAGAGAGGAGTGCCCTCCATGGGCTCTGGTCACACCATGATTGCTGTCCTTCACTCTTCAAGCCCTTTGGATCTTGGGTTCTTTTTTTTTTTTTTGGAGAGGTTTTTGCTATAGGGCGCATGCACTCACCAGATAGACAGAGACAGACAGAAAGCGAGAAATCATCCCCCCGGGGGGGCGGGGAGGATGGCCACGCCTCAATCCCTTCTCCTCCACTTTCCTCTCAGGATCTTGGGCACGTGCCTGGTGTGAGTTTTAAGCCACCGGGTCCGGGACTCGAACCGCAGTTGACTACATGGGAGTCCAGTGACATAGCCATTACGCTAACTGCTGGTCCCAGATCTTGGATTCTTGGACACATGCCTGGCATCTTTCAGGCTGACCAAGCCAAGGATTCGAACTGCAGCTGCCATGTGGGCTCTAACTACGACTACTTCTTTGCTGCTGGCTGCTGCTGCTGCTGCTGCTGCTGCTACTGCTTTTTAAAATTTGCTGTGGGATGCATACACTCACTAAAGGGAAAGTGAGAGAGAAAGTGAGAAATCACCCCCCAGAGGGGATGGCCACACCACTCTCTCTTCTCCTCCATTCTCTTCTCAAGATTTTGGGCATGCTTGCATAGATGCCTGGCTTGTTTTTCAGGCTACTAGATCCAGGACTCAAACCGTGCTGTTGGCCATGTGGGATCCAGCCACTTTAACCACCATGCCACCTGGCTGGCCCACAGAGTTGACTTCTTTTGAGCAGTGCTTTACTGTTGCAGCATGGAGCTGGTCCCAGAATTCTGCTTTTACTTCGGTAATTGCCCACCAAGGTACATTAGCTAAATCTAATGTAACAGTTGGTTCTAGATTAAAATATTTAGTGAAGTCAGAACTGTAGACCAGAAAATGAAGACCCTTGGTGATGGTCACACTGCTATTACAAGATTGATCTGGGAGCAGCTAGATTTCTAGCCATTCTTCTCCTTCAACTTAGGTGAACTAGAAGGATTGTTCAGGGGGCCCTTTTGTTAAGGGACAAAAAGTATCCTTGGGGACCAGCAGTTAGCGTAATGGCTATATCGCTGGACTCCCATGAAGTTGACCACGGTTCATGTCCCGGACCTGGTGGCTTAAACTCACGCCAGGTGCGTGTGCATGCGTGCCCAAGATCCTGAGAGGAGAATAGAGGAGAAGGGATTGTGGCGTGGCCATCCCCTCTGGGGGATGATTTCTCGCTTTCTATCTCTCTGTCTGTCTCTGTCTGTCTGGCGAGCACATGTGCCCTGCAGCAAAAACCTCTCAAAAAAAAAAAAAAAGTATCCTTGAATCCAGGAAATAACACCTGTAAGGCCTTAAAGTATGTTTATGTGTAGGCAGGGCAGGGCAACTATTCTGTGTATTTCTGGCAGCTAGTTGAACTGTCAGATTGCTTGGGCAGGTCAGGGTTAGACTAAGCATATAGTGGTGCAGTTACTAAGAGAATCTCAGGCCTGAGTCTAAATGGATTTACCCCAAGGTTGTCCAGCAACCAGATGGTGCTAATATGGGCCTAGAACGAACTCCTCATCACTTACCTCCTGTTCAGGGCCTAGAACCCCTCATCACTCACCTCCCGCTCAGGGCCTAGAACCCCTCATCGCTTACTTCCTGCTCGGGGCCTAGAACCCCTCATCGCTCACCTCCCGCTCAGGGCCTAGAACTCCTCATCGCTCACTTCCTGCTCGGGGCCTAGAAACCCTCATCACTCACCTCCTGTTCATGATACTGTCTAGCTCTGGACCCCCCGCTTCCTTCTTTGTTGTCATGCCCAGTTCTTTTCTGTGATGAAAGTGGATGAGTGCCCACGAGCATGACACTAATCCAAGCTGACACTTGCTTACTGGGCACTGCCTGCGGGTTGTGTACGCTCGTCCGGTAGCTCACAAAAGATGGTGTGTCAGTTTCTGCCTGTGACGCACCTCTGGTACTTCGAAGCGCACCCACGCATTCGCCACTTCCAGGACTGGTCTTTGTTTCTCCCTGCCCGCCCCCCAACATCCCCCTCCATCCCGACCTACCCTGTTATCAGTAAGCCTGTTCCCATGAACTCCTTGGTCTCTCCTCACAGAGACCAAGAGCAGAGATTTAGGCATCACATGGCTGAAATGTAACCCCAGGCCCTGCCTCTTGCCAGGGTGCTCTTAGGCAAGCCGCAGTGTAGTTGTCTGGAAAACGTAGGTAGCGATGGTAGAACTGACAGTTCTCACAACTGAGCCGCCGCTGTGAGAACTGAGTGAGACAAGCGAAGAGCGCTTAGCAAGGCCTGGCAAAGGAGAATGCTGGGCACCCGTAAGCTGCTTTCAGCAATTTCAGATGATTCCCATTGGACGAGCCAGGCGGCACGGTGGTTGGGGTGACTGGATCCCACATGGCCAACCACATGGTTCGAGTCCCAGACCTGGTGACTCGTACATGTCCCGAGAAGAGAGTTGAGGAGAAAGGATTGTGATGTAGTCTCCCCGCCACCAGTAGGGGGTTGCTTTCTCACTTTCTCTATTTCTGTCTCTCTCTTT